CTCTCTCTCTCTCTCTCTCTCTCTCTCTCTCTCTCTCTCTCTCTCTCCCCTCACAAACACAGGACAGACACACAGACAACAGCCACTTAGATTGGGTTTAATCATGTGGGGCAGTCATGCGGTTGGAGGAAACGCTGTATTCTGTGTGATGTGGCCACTGGGCTCCTGCCCTGCCGCTGATAAGGCCTCAATTCCACCTGAAGCACAAAGCAACCAGTCACCTGAAAGACTAGAAGGAAATGACTAACTACGAGGCAGCGCTTCTAGCCTGAATTGACTTAAACACATTAAGAGAGAGACGGGAGAGATGGCCAAAGAGGAATAAAAAAGCTCTGCCTTAAAGTTTGCTTTAATCCACGTGTGTGTGTGTGTGTGTGTGTGTGTGTGTGTGTGTGTGTGTGTGTGTTGGCTATTTTTTATCTGAGACTCCCAGCCCCGGGCAGAGAGCCAGTTACTGTAGTGCTTCTCGCGGAGTCCACTCAGAGAAAAAGATGACCACAGGACCAGGGCAATGCAGGTCAAGAGTCACACGCACACTTTACGGGACATTACATTGACTAACATTCATTTGGAGACTTGCCCTAACCTTAACCATAACCGCCACTTTTCTAATCCTAACTTTTACCTTAACCTTTAACCAAGTCTTTACCTTAAAAGGTTATGGAGACGTGTCCCCAAAAGGCTGGCAAGTCCCCACAATGTAAATACACAACAATGCACACAGACAGACAGATAGACAGAGTCCATAAATCACATCGTCCTACACTTTAGACATTTAGGATTTTAAGGAGTAAAAACTTCAGTGTTGAATTGATTTTCTGCTTCCCATCTCTTTTATGCCTGACTTTTTCAATAATCTTGAAAAAGTTTGGTAGGATGGTTCTTCAAGGTAAAGCCATCCTACCAAAGACAACGACTGATTTGAGGCAGAACAACTTAAGAGGAAAAAAAAATAATGAATGGATAATGTCAAGTTTTAGTCTGGAGTTTCAGCGCTGTAATTTTTGATTGCGCTATTTATACCTTTTGATTGTGATGGTGACTTTTGTGTGTTTGTTATTACAGACTGTCATATGTGCATGATTTATGTGAACCTGCTGTAGGAACATGATGCTTCAGCATGGTGTGCTGACCCACTAATGACTGTTCCTAAAAATAATTGCACCAGATCACATTTCTTCCTATAGCTGTTATTAGGTCTGCATGTTTATTTTTTTAATATTTGATGAGTACTGAATATCTTGTACATCACAGTTAACTATTTTGCTGCTGTGTTTTAGAAATGTCTTTGTATTTTACTATGGCATCCATTCCTGTGCAGTATAAACATTGTTGTATCATTGTTATATTACAACTATAATACCATTCAACAATGATTTAATGATTTATAGAAACAACTTATGCAGACGTGATGTTCACAGCATTGGATGATACCGCTTTATAATGTGTCAAAAGTTTAATAATTGATTTCTATACCATACCAAACTGAATGGAAACCAGTGCCTGTCAGGAATATGTGATCTGTGATTTCTTACAATACTGTTACTGACAGGAGATCAGTAAGATTCATATTCACTTTTTGTATATTAATAATGTTCACACCAGGCCTGTTGCTTTGCAGTGCTGTTATTTTTTTCAGATTTTATTTGAGTTAAATTATGATGACTATATTGCATGTTTACAAGGCTTGAAGTTGCAATTCATAATATTCTACTGTGATTGAATGTTTTTATAATTCAACAGCAAAATAAAAGCTATATTATTCATATTCATTCATGCAGCAATTCATTAAATGTTATTATAACACATAGAGCAGTATAACCTACATGAAAGAGCAGTATGGTATGATAGAGGTAGAGCGGGTCGTCTTCTAATCAGAAGATTGAGGGTTCGATCCCCGGCTCCTGTCCATGTCTGTGTGTCCTTAGGAAAGACAATTAACCCCAAATTTCTCCCTGAGCTGTGCCATCAGTGTATGAATGTGTTTTAAATGGGTGAATGCTGACATGAAGTGTAAAGGGCTTTGAGTGGTCTGAAGACTAGAAAGGAGCTATACAAATGCAGGTTCATCCATTTACCATTTGTTGACTGTATCCGATATTGTGTTGATCAAACTATAACATGTTTTATTGCTTGTGTATAGTGATTATTACAGAAGATTTGGAACTTTAAAAAAAATTGCATACTGAATCACAAATGCAAGTGTTTGTCTTAAAATATCTACCTTAAATTATTTCCCCATATCGTTCAGCCAAAGCAAAACATCTGGTTGATTTCTTCAATCACAACATGACACCACAAAACCTTCATCTGGACACTGTCAACATCGTTCACTGCACTTCTTCTCCAACAGATGGGGGGTGCAAAGGAAGCCTGAAATCCTGGCAAAGGGCCCGAGAAAGGGATGTGAAGCCTTGGAAGACTATAGGTGTACACATCTGTCAGCTTTACCGAACACTAAACGCTCTCTGCCTCATTAACACTACTATGGAAATTGCCTCCTATTTCTTACACAGGCTTTTAATTTGTCTTTCATTGCCAGCTGGCATTGTTTGCTTGTTACAAACCACTGACTAAGACCTTTTCCTTCTTGTCTGACTGTTGTGTGCAGAGCTATGGCCGATACAAGGATAAAGACAGAAAGACAGAGACGTACAGTATATGAGCCAGGTTTAAGCAAAAAGGTGTTTGTTTTGATAATGGCTGCTATAAACCACCAAGTTTATCATTCTGACTTTTCCATCCTGGCTCCCTCTCATAGACATTCACAAGTAAAGAGATGACCGTAATTGCAGTCAAGCAAACACACAAATGCTGAACCATATTCTTACAGATAGTACACAGCACCATACACTCACATACACACACACACAAGCGGGGACGAATGGAGATCAACTTATTTTATTTCTGGATGTCTGTCAGATTGTGTTATGAATACAGATGGCAGTTAGGGCTGCACTGACAGGCAGCAAGACAGACAGTCGAGCAGCTGTTCGTTTGCCCTAATGGAAAGTACTTTGTGACACGTCCCC